GCTTGCGAATATGTATTCTGAAGCTGGGAGGTGGGAAGATGTAGAACGGCTTAAATCTCATATGAAGCAAAGAGGACTCCGGAAAACTGTCGCGTGCAGCTTTGTTGAGACCAAATGTAGGCCTTACAGATTCATCAACCAAGATACGACCCACATTGAAACCTACATGATTTATGCTGTTTTAGATTTGATTCTGAGGAAGATAGGGGAAGATAAATATGTTAACAGTATCACCAAGTTCAGACCGTTGGATTTGAAGAGAAAGAGAGCAAATTCCGCAGAGAGTCACAGTGTAAGATTGGCAATTTGTTTTGGTTTGATCTCCACAGAAATCAGACACCCCGTTGTTGTTAGGAAGAACACGAGAATCTGTGAAGAATGCCATAGCGTTGCAAAGAAGATTTCAGAGATCACCAAGAGAGAGATAATTGTAGGAGATTCGAAGGTCTTTCACCACTTCATTGACGGCAATTGCTCTTGTCGTGATTACTGGTGAGACTAGTTTTGTAGAAACTTCTTGTATATACACAAATATATTGCACGACTGTGTTACAAAACATCTAGGCCTCCTTCGGTGCCTAGGATGGATTTGAGTAGATAACTCACTAGATCCCATGTTAGTTGATAGAACAAATACATGCCAACTTCTAAAATTTGAAGGTCTAAGATTAGTCGTGAAGGAAACGTATCCTTCATGATTGTGCGTAAATTTGACGTCATCCGGTATAATTAGCTTTGGGTTGATGTAATCTAGTGGTCAAGTTGGGTCAAAATGAGGATAATTGAGATAATAAAAGAGATCTAGCCCGGAATTTATTTAGGCCAGACTCTAATCCATGCTGAAATTGTGATTTTGATTAAAATGAATCGATATTATCATGACATTAATCACGTCAATAATTGAATCACTTTGTGGTCATGTTCGCACCAATCTATTAGTATGACTAGAGTAATTCTTAAGAAGTGTGACAACATGTTATTTATACAAACATCATTTCTAATGGAATCTCTACCATCGTATGTACTTAAATTTGAGCATTATGTGACTTCTAATGAGGCGGAGCTCCAATTCCTGTATTAGAGGGACAAAGTAGAGTTCTTAAAATTCTCTTCACATTTGAGGACCACATAAGGGCTATCTTTATTCATTTTTTTAATCACAAATTCTGACTTTACCATGTACTTTTTCAATTCAAATGGGCTCATCGCTTTATTTTTCTTGTTGTTTTGCACAATTATTTGGCGCAACCTGACCGCGACTTCCATCCCTTTTCTTCTTGTTTGCTTATTTTGCCTTCCAATTTTATATGCTTTCACGTTCTATACTCATTTCTCCAAATTATACAATTTATTTTCCTTAGTTTGTTAATTTATTTTATTCATCAATGGCAGGTTTAAGTAAGCTCCAAGTCCAACTAATTATTATATATATATATATATATTATAACTAATTTAATAGTTAAATCTGTATGAACTTATTAATTCTTTTACTCATTTCAAATTCCAAATTACAAAACATAAATTACGTACTTAATCAACAAGAGTTAACTAGTAACATTACAATAATATTTCTAAGTACTTATTGGAAGCATGAAAAATTGATTTGCAAATTATTTAATTATCCACTCGCCGTCCATTCCACAAGTGTTCAACGAAATCATTACAAAGAGCCATGTATCCAACTAGTAGAATTTAAATGTTTTTTTGGTCAAAATGTTTACAAAAATATTTTACGACAACGTAATGTTAAATTAATTAAAAAAAAGTTAACACAAAAATAGAAATTGTACCTAATCAAATTATCACATAAAATCGTAAAAACCTCAAATTTAAGAATCCTTCTATAGGGACTCTTCCATTAGAAGCAATATTCTTTAAAGACACGAAGATGCCTTTAAGTTCCTAAATGAGTTTTTAAAAGTGGTGGTGGGAGTCCCTAAATAGGGAGTTCCATTATAGATGCTCTAATGTCATCTCTAACCGAAAATGCTAAACACTTCCCCATCTAGAAGTATAGTCTTGCAAAAAGTTATTTTTAAATGAACAGTGTCAGTCCATACTTATATATTATCTCTAACCGAATAAGCTAAACATAACTTCCTCAATAATTTATTAGTTTTACATTTATACTTTAAATTTATTGATTAATTTAATTAAATGACCTTTGTCACTTAGTACTACAATCTCATGATATTCATCTTCACTTGTAATTAAGATGTCTTAGGTTCAATTCTCACCAAAGGCGAATTTGAACTATAGTATTACTAGCCTATTGTGAGGCTAAGCTCACCCCACTTCCCTTAGTGTAGATACTATCGTTTGTTAAAAAAAAAAATTAAACAACCTTGAATGTTTTTAAATCTAACCTTTGAATTTGAATTAATAGTTGCAATTAAGAAGCTTAGTTCTAAAAATGGGCTAAAAAGGGGCTATATTTGGCCAACCTAATGCATCTTTGGCCAAATAATGGCCTGTCAGCTTCATAAAATTATAACCTGAACAGCAATTGAAGATGAAATTTTAAACAAATCAGATTATTTTGTAGTTTCAAACCTTTCCCTTCCCATTAAAGATGGCCCAACGGTTAGAAGAAAATTTGCAAAATGGAGCACCATAGATAAATTTGCAAAAGTAAGCACTATGGATCTTTTGCCAAAAGCAAATCTTTTGTCAAAAGCAAAAGTGAGCATGCATGATTAGACTTGTCCTGCACCTGGGTAAATCGACGACCCAAGCAAGTCAAGTTGGGTACTACATGATCTCTCATCCAACTTGTTTCTTTCTATCCCTCTCTCTTGCGCTGGATTATGTCCATCAGGGTTCTGGAGAAGCTTCAACTTGATGAGTCTTTCATTTTAGATATCTCAAGATCCTAATATTTCCTAATCAATATCTTTTTTGATTCAGAGGTAACTTACTTAATTACACAAATTAATTACCATATAATTATAGTCTTCTCTTATAATATTGTACAGCGACTGTTAATTTGTGGTGACTTTTTGGTCCTTCAGAATATTTATAAAGCTCACCAAGATAGAAAAGTTGATTTTTTTTTTTTTTTTTGGTTGTTGTTGTGTATGTTGTTGATGGAAGTGATTATGTTGGTGAAGGAGATTCGAATTCAGTGACCCCGGGTGCGTTCAGGGTAGATTCTAACTGAGATGTATGTCAGTTGGGTCAAAATGAGGATAATTGAGATAATAAAAGAGATCTAGCCCGGAATTTTTTTAGGCCAGATTCTAATCTATGTTGAAATTGTGATTTTGATTAAAATGAATCGATATAATCATGACATTAATCATGTTAATAGTTGAATCACTTTGTGGTCATGTTTGCACCTATCTATTAGTATGACTAGAGTAATTCTTAAGAAGTGTGACAACATGTTATTTATACAAACATCATTTCTAATGAAATCTCTACCACCGTATGTACTTAAATTTGAGCATTATGTGACTTCTAATGAGGTGGAGCTCCAATTCCTGTATTAGAGGGACTAAGTAGAGTTCTTAAAATTTTCTTCACATTTGAGGACCACATAAGGGCTATCTTTATTCATTTTTTTAATCACAAATTATGACTTTACCGTGTACTTTTTCAATTCAAATGGGCCCGTCGCTTTATTTTTCTTGTTGTTTTGCACAATTATTTGGCGCAACCTGACCGCGACTTCCATCCCTTTTCTTCTTGTTTGCTTATTTTGCCTTACAATTTTATATGCTTTCACGTTCTATACTCATTTCTCTAAATTATACAATTTATTTTCCTTAGTTCGTTAATTTATTTTATTCATCAATGGCAGGTTTAAGTAAGCTCCAAGTCCAACTAACTATTATATATATATATATATATATTTATATTTATAACTAATTTAATAGTTAAATCTGTATGAACTTGTTAATTCTTTTATTCATTTCAAATTACAAATTACAAAACATAAATTACGTACTTAATCAACAAGAGTTAACTAGTAACATTACAATAATATTTCTAATTACTTATTGAAAGCATGAAAAATTGAATTGCAAATTATTTAATTATCCACTTTCCGTACATTCCACAAGTGTTCAACGAAATCATTACAAAGAGCCATGTATCCAACTAGTTAGAATTTGAATGTTTTTTTGGTCAAAATGTTTACAAAAATATTTTACGACAACGTAATGTTAAATTAATTAAAAAAAAGTTAACACAAAAATAGAAATTGTACCTAATCAAATTATCACATAAAATCGTAAAAACCTCAAATTTAAGAATCCTTCTATAGGGACTCTTCCATTAGAGGCAATATTCTTTAAAGACACAAAGATGCCTTTAAGTTCCTAAATGGGTTTTTAAAAGTGGTGGTGGGAGTCCCTAAATAGGGAGTTCCATTGTAGATGCTCTAATGTCATCTCTAACCGAAAAGGCTAAACACATCCCCATCTAGAATTATAGCCTTGCAAAAAGTTATTTTTAAATGAACAATGTCAGTCCATACTTATATATTATCTCTAACCGAATAAGCTAAACATAACTTCCTCAATAATTTACTAGTTTTACGTTTATACTTTAAATTTATTGATTAATTTAATTAAACGACCTTTGTCATTTAGTACTACAATCTCATGATATTCATCTTCACTTGTAATTAAGATGTCTTAGGTTCAATTCTCACCAAAGGCGAATTTGAACTACATTATTTCTAGTCTATTGTGAGGCTAAGCTCACCCCACTCCCCTTAGTGTAGATACTATCGTTTGTTAAAAAAAAAAAAAATTAAACAACCTTGAATGTTTTCAAATCTAACCGTTGAATTTGAATTAATAATTGCAATTAAGGAGCTTAGTTCCAAAAATGGGCTAAGAAAGGGCTATATTTGACCAACCTAATGCACCTTTGGCCAAATAATGGCCTGTAAGCTTCATAAAATAATAACCTGATCAGCAATTGAAGATGAAATTTTAAACAAATCAGATTATTTTTTAGTTTCAAACCTTTATCCCTTCCCATTAAAGATGGCCTAACGGTTAGAAGAAAATTTGCAAAATGGAGCACCATAGATAAATTTGCAAAAGTAAGCACTATAGATCTTTTGCCAAAAGCAAATCTTTTGTCAAAAGCAAAAGTGAGCATGCATGATTAGACTTGTCCTGCACCTGGGTAAATCAACGACCCAAGCAAGTCAAGTTGCGTATAACATGATCTCTCATCCAACTTGTTTCTTTCTATCTCTCTCTCTCTTGCGCTGGATTATTTCCATCAGGGTTCTGGAGAAGCTTCAACTCGATGAGTCTTTCATTTTAGATATCTCTAGATCCTAATATTTCCTAATCAATATCTTTCTTGATTCAGAGGTAATCTCACTTACTTAATTACACAAATTAATTACCATATAATTATAGTCTTCTCTTATAATATTGTATAGCGATTGTTAATTTGTGGTGACTTTTTGATCCTTCAGAATGTTTATAAAGCTCACCAAGATAGAAACGTTGATTTTTTTTTTCTTTTTTCATATTTTTTTTTTTGTGTGTTGTTGATAGAAGTGATTATGTTGGTGAAGGAGATTCGAATTCAGTGACCCCGGGTGCGTTCAGGGTAGATTCTAACTGAGATGTATGTCAGTTGTATATAGGGGATTTTGGCTTAATTAAATAAATAATTTCATATTTTGTCATAGTTAACGGACCCCTTATGAATATACATGTGTGTATATGTTATGAAATAGATCCGGATTGCGGGTTATGAAAAATATAAATGGATGGATTTGCAGGTTATGAAATATAAATAGTGGGGTTTGCAGGTTATTAGTATGGCTTCTTCCTCTTCGTCTGCTGCTGCTATCTCGTCACCTCCAAGAAAGTATGATGTGTTTCTTAGTTTCAGAGGTGAGGACACCCGCAACAATTTCACCAGCCACCTTCGTGCTGCTTTAGATCGAAAGAAACTTGACACCTACATAGATGACAAACTTGAGAGAGGGGATGAAATCAGACCTGCCCTTCTAGAAGCTATTGAGAAATCAAAGCTTTCGGTGATCATTTTCTCAAAAAACTACGCTTCTTCCACATGGTGTCTGGATGAACTCGTCCATATACTAGGATGCAAGGAAAGGGGTGGACAGTTTGTTATACCCTTTTTTTACGACATCAGTCCACAGGATGTACGAAAACAACAGGGGAGTTATGTAGATGCATTTGCCGAGCTTGAAAAACGTTTCGAGGACTGTATGGACAAGGTGGTTAAGTGGAGGGATGCTTTGGAGAAAGCTGCCAACCTATCTGGTTATGACAATTCAAACAAAGCAGGGTAACTAACTTTGCACCTCTTGCAGGATTTTTTATTTGTGACCATTTGTTTCAAACAAGATTCATTAATGCAGGACTTGGTAACTATTTTTCCTTCGTGATTATTTATATTTTCCAGGACAGAGGCCGATTCCATTGAGAAACTTGTCCAAGATATATTGAACAAATTGGATTGCAAAAGCTGAAGTAATTTAAAGGGCCTAGTTGAAATTGAAACCAAAGTTGAGCAAATTGAATCGTTACTATGCCTTGATTCACCGGATTTTTGCATTGTAGGTATTTGGGGCATGGGTGGTATTGGCAAGACCACCCTTGCTGATGTTGTATATCACCGACTCTCTTCCAAGTTTGAAGCTTGTTGTTTTCTTCCAAATGTTGGAGAAAATTCCGAAGCAAAAGATGGAATATATAACTTACGAAATAAACTTCTCCGTGAGATTTTGGATGATGAAAAAATATATATTAACACTCCATCTATAGGACCAGAGGCTCTTAAAAAGAGGCTCCGTCGTACAAAGGTACTCATTGTTCTTGACGACGTGAATGATTCAAGGCAATTAGAACTTCTAGTTGGAGATGATCTTCAGTTTGGTGTCGGAAGTAGAATCATTATAACAACTCGAGATAGGAGCTTACTCAATGAAAAGGTGGTTGATGACAAAATTTACGAGGTCAAGGGATTGAAACATGATGGCGCTCTTCAGCTCTTTCATTTGCATGCTCTGAAAAATAAGTCTCCTACGACAGTTTATACAGAGTTTTCAAGAAAGGTGATAGATTATATTCAAGGCATTCCATTGGCTCTTAAAACTTTGGGTGCCTTATTCCGTCACTGCAATACAGAAGAAGACTGGGATGAAGAATTGAACAGATTGAAAAAATTTCCTAGCGAAAAAATTCAGAATGTGTTGAGACTTAGTTATGATGGATTAGAAGAAAATGAGAAGGAATGCTTTCTTGACATTGCATGCTTTCTGAAAGGGGCAGATGTTTATTATGCAAAAAGAATATTAGATATTCGGGGTTTCTCTGTGAAGGGAATCCAAAATCTCATTGACAAGTCTCTCATATCAATTTCAAAGACGAATTTCTTAGAGATGCATGATTTGCTGCAAGAAATGGGCCGGACAATTGTCTGCGAACAATGCAAGGACAAGCCAGGAAAACGTAATAGGTTGTGGGATGCTGATGATGTCTATCAAGTGCTGGAGAATGATACGGTAAGAACCAAAAATCATGAACTTTCTATGACGGGACCATGGAAACTCATTTTGTATAAGCATATGTCAACAAAAGTAGTTTTTAGTAATCTTTGTTGTACATTTATTCTCATTATACTATTTTCTCTTGATTTCCAGGGAACTTCAACAGTTCGATGCATATCCTTTGACACGTCTAACATTACACGGTTGGAATTATGTGGATGACCCTTCAAGAAGATGTCTAATTTAAGATTGTTGATAATTCATGATTCTCGTCTAAGGCTCATGTACAAGGGTTTCTTTAAGTTTGGTGGAAAATTGACGCAACAGGTTTATGTTGCTGATCTCTTTGACAAGTTGAAAAACAACAATCTGGACCTTTCTCAAGGTCTTCAGTCTCTTCCCAATTCTCTCAGGTATCTTTACTGGCAGGGATACCCGTTGAAATCTCTTCCATCAAATTTTTCTCCACAAAATCTTGTTGAGCTTCGAATGCCCGGCAGCTTTGTTGGGGCAGAACTTTGGAGTAAAAACCAGGTATATATATGCTTCCTCTTCTTTTTTCTATGTTTTTTTTATAGAAGTATATATATGCTAACTTTTGTTCTTCGTATGAACTATGGTGCCTCTGGAAACCTATTCGGCCGAAGTCAATAATGTTCTTCTTTCCATTTTTCTTTAATTTGTTACAGAATCTTGGGAACTTAAAAGTGATTGAACTAAGTTTTTGCGTGCATCTGACTGAAGTTCCAGATCTCTCTCGCAGTAAAAAAATTGAGCATATAGTGCTTTTTGGGTGTGATAGATTGCTTCGAATTCCTTCTTATTTTAAAGATCTTGACAAGCTTAGATGGCTGAATCTGGGAAAGTGCTTAAGTCTAGAATTCTTACCGGAGCTCCCAATGCTATGTTGTCTTGAAGCAAGGGGCTGCACTTCACTGAAGACAGTTTCAAGTTCAAGAAATTCACTCACACAAGCTTGGGATAAATATGAATTGTTTCGAGGGCGTTTTAACTTTGTTGATTGCCCAAACTTGGATGAAAATGCAAGGACCAATATAATGGCTGACACACAGTTAAGAATTATGCGAGTGGCAACTGGGCCATTGAAAACTCAGCAACGTAAAGAAGAAGAGCTTGTCATGGTCTCTCTCTCCCTCTCTCACCCACGCACACACTTTCATATCTCCTTTATGCCATTTTTTCACGTGTTGAATAATTTACTGGATTTCCATGCATCGATGTTACAGGAAATGACTTCATCTATCCCTACCTGCTGTCGGACTTTAGGCAGCACCGTCTCTGCTCGGACTTTAGTTAGCACTGCATGTGCAGGAAATGAAATTCCAAATTGGTTCCGCCATCAAAATGAAGGATATTCGATAACTATCAAGCTTCCTCGAAATTGGTATTGTACAGATTTTTTGGGTTTTGCTCTATCTGTTGTTCTCCCTTGCCACTGTGGATATTATAAATATCTGATGCTTGGATGCTCGTGCAATTTTAAAACTAATAGTGGTGAAAGCCATAAAACCATTTATCCTTCCCATTATCCTTTTAATGGAAAAGGGAGAGGGAGCGAATTTGTTTATTCGGAATTCGGTCACGTATTTGTGTGGTATAGTGCGCTTGCACATGGAGAGGGAGCAAACTTAAATCGCTCCAATTCATTTTACAAACTTGTCACTGAGGCCTGTTTTGAGTTCACCGCGAAAGTCACCGCCTTTTTCAGAATAAAGGTGAAAAAGTGTGGGATCAGCCTTCTGTATGCTGAAGATGTCGAGACCATCAAGTCAGGAGGAAATACAGGTTGGAGTAGCCAAAAATAAAAAGTTAGAAATGAAAATTTTAGAATTTGAGCTGCTCTTATTGTTTGTATTCTCATCTTTTAAGCTGTTTGTAAGCTTTGTGGCCGAGGGATTCCTAGTATTAGTCTTTGTTGTTGAAACGCATTGGCTCTCCAAGTAATATATACATACAGAAAACATATCAAAAGATTGGCAGTGTTTACTCTATTCAATTGAGAGGCATTTTCAAATTGTGAGGGGATGAGAAGACCCGTCCCATCTTCCAACTTCAATACAAATGCCTGTGGCCTGAGGATTGTTTATAAGGATTCATAATTTCAACTTTAGGAGAGAACTAGAAGATGTTATAAACATGTGAAAGTCATAATCTTTTGTTATTGGTGCTCATAATTTTTTTTTTTTCAGTTTTAATTACCTTGTATTTGAGAAGAGATTCAGAACTCTCTTCAATTTTCTGGTTTGGCTTCAAGCTTAGCCTCCATTGTCGCCATTGACAGAAGACGGGCTCTTAGGAATAGTAGTGAGCATGAATGGAGCTTGATATGATCTAATTATGAAAACATACACTAATCAACATAAAATTTCAAGTGCATGAACGAATTTATACAAATATGTTGAAAAGAATATCACTTTTTTTATATATGTTGAAATTTGTTGATGCTGGGGTGAAAAAATTCCTCAACTGAAAAAATTCCTGCCAATTTAGAAAAGAACTATTCCAAATTACGGATGTACTCTATTAATTTTACCAAGAACATGCATGGCACCACCACTATTAAGAAGCATCAGCATCAACATACAAAGACAAAAGTTTCTACAATCAGTTGTCAAATTGTTACCAAAAACATGCATGGAAAGAATAAAAATGACCACAAAGATGGCAAAACAATTAACCACATATGTTGTTTATATGCCCACTGAGAGGAAAAATCTTCTGCAATTGCAAGAACGTATTTATATAAAACAGACTTGTCACTTTAGCTTAAGCTCACACACCATCTGAAAGAGCCTCTTGTATCCATTCCAATCATACTCCTGTGGAGCGTGTCCCTCTACTATTCCCCACCAGCAATCAACCATAAACGCCATCTACATTAACTGATATCAATACCCTCGGCTGCTTTAGTGAGCATCTGGATCAACCGGCACACACTTCATATGAATGACACCTAACTGCCACCAAAATAAAAGACATGATGAAGAGCATTCAAATTGGCGACTAAGCTTAAAAACAACCCTTGTGTATTAAGCGACTAAGCTTAAATATCTTTAAGAACCAATCGGCCATGGTTTGCAAGCCAGGACTGAACTCAGAAAAATTTGCTTCCTAGTAACATTGACTTAAATTTGTGGTAGAAGGACTGGAATTTTCTCTTCTTTTTTATTAAAGATAAAAGAGACAGAGACTTCATTTAGATATAATACGGATTTAAAAGAATGAATTCATATTTTGACAAGAAGCTCAGATTTGTTTCTAACATAAAGATATAATCCACGAAATGAGCAAATGTAATGTAATAACTGAAACTAAAATGACTATGTCCAATGAATCATTCGAAATCCATGTAATCCTTCAATCACAGAAATATAAACATTATATCCAAGCACCTAAAATAAAAACATGAACCAAAATCCCAGAAATTTCACTACGAAACTGAAGCTTAATGAGCATATGTGCACCTGTAGCTATTGCCTCATAAGAAGATTCTGGACCTTTCTCAAGGTCTTCGGTCTCTTCCCAATTCTCTCAGGTATCTTTACTGGCAAAATCTCTTCCATCAAATTTTTCTCCACAAAATCTTGTTGAGCTTCGAATGCCCGGCAGCTTTGTTGGGGCAGAACTTTGGTGTAAAAACCAGGTATATATATGCTTCCTCTTCTTTTTTCTATGTTTTTTTTATTGAAGTATATATATGCTAACTTTTGTTCTTTGTATAAACTATGGTGCCTCTGGAAACCTATTCGGCCGAAGTCAATAATTTTCTTCTTTCCATTTTTCTTTAATTTGTTACAGAATCTTGGGAACTTAAAAGTGATTGACCTAAGTTTTTGCATGCATCTGAATGAAGTTCCAGATCTCTCTCGCAGTAAAAAAAATTGAACATATAGTGCTGATTGGCTGTGAAAGATTGGTTCGAATTCCTTCTTATTTTAAAGATCTTGACAAGCTTAGGTGGCTGAATCTGGGAGAGTGCTCAAGTCTAGAATTCTTACCAGAGCTCCCAGTGCTATGTTGTCTTGAAGCAAGTGGCTGCCCGAACTTGAAGACAGTTTCAAGTTCAAGAAATTCACTCACACAAGCTTGGGATAAATATGAATTGTTTCGAGGGCGTTTTAACTTTGTTGGTTGCCCGAACTTGGATGAAAATGCAAGGACCAATATAATGACCAATATAATGGCTGACACACAGTTAAGAATTATGCGAGTGGCAACTGGGCCATTGAAAACTCAGCAACATAAAGAAGAAGAAATTGTCATGGTCTCTCTCTCACCCACGCACGCACACACTTTCATATCTCCTTCATGCCATTTTTCACGTGTTGTATAATTTACTGGATTTCCATGCATCGATGTTACAGGAAATGACTTCATCTATCCGTACCTGCTGTCGGACTTTAGGTAGCACCGACTCTGCTCGGACTTTAGTTAGCACTGTATGTGCAGGAAATGAAATTCCAAATTGGTTCTGCCATCAAAATGAAGGATCTTCGATAACTATCAAGCTTCCTCGAAATTGGTATTGTACAGAGTTTTTGGGTTTTGCTCTATCTATTGTTCTCCATGAATATAGTTATTATAAAGATCAGATGTTTGCTTATAAAACCATCTATCCTTCCCATTATCATGGAGAGCTATACTAATAGTGGCTTTTAAAACTAATAGTGGTGAAAGCCATAAAACCATAATAACTATACTATAATAACTATATAGTTATTATAAAAACATCCACTAGTATATTCATGAATATACTAATAATAACTATAATAACCCACTATTGGTCATTATTATTCATGAATATACTAATAATAACTATAATAACTAGTGGATTATTATAGTTATTATATAGTGGGTTATTATAGTTATTATTATTATTATAGTCATTAGTTTTAAAATTTGTTCATGAATATAGTTATTATTGTTCAATAATAACTATAATAACTATACTATATTGTTCTCTATTAGTTTTAAAATTGCAATTTTAAAACTAATAGTGGTGAAAGCCATAAAACCATTTATCCTTCCCATTATCCTTTTAATGAAAATGGGGGAATGGTTGCTTATTCGGAATTTGGTCACATATTTGTGTGGTATAGTGCGCTTGCACTTGGAGAGGAAGCAAATTTAAATCGCTCCACTTTTTTTTACAAACTTGTCACTGAGGCCTGTTTTGAGTTCACCGCGAAAGTCACCACCCTTTTCAGATTAGAGGTGAAAAAGTGTGGGATCAGCCTGCTGTATGCTCAAGATGTCAAGACCATCAAGTCGGGAGGAACTACAGGTTGGAGTAGCCCAAAAAAAAAAAAAGTTAGAAATGAAAAATTAAGAATTTGAGCTCTTCTTATTGTTTGTATTCTCATCTTTTAAGTTGTTTGTAAGCCTTGTGGCCGAGGGATTCCTCGTATTAGTCTTTGTTGTTGTAATGCTTTGGCTTTCCAAGTAATTTATAAGAGGCGTTTTGATATAGGTGGTTCAATTTTGAATTTTTTATATCAAACATCTATAGCTTGTGGCTTTTTTTTTTTTTTTTTTTTCTAACCATCAATATCATGGGTTTAGTAGAAAAATACCAGTAGACCATAATATTAATTGTTATAGTTTTTAGGCTTTTGATCAAACATTCTTTTATTAATTTTTAATATTTCATTTACTTAATTTATCATTTAATTCACAAATTAATATAAAAAAAACTCCAAAAATCATGTAGTCTCCTATAATAATTCGTTTCATAATAATCACTAGCAAAAGTGCCCCACACGTTGCTGCGAGTGCTTTAAATATTTTGGTAATGTATACATACAAAAAACATAAATTATTGAAGATAGATTTATAGAAATTGGCAGTGTTCATAGTTATCAAAAGATTGAGAGTGTTTAATTGCTCAATGTTCAAAAGATAAGAGATGCTTGGAAGCTAAATTTATGTAAGTTCATAGTTATCAAGAGATTGGCAGTGTTCACTCTTTATTAGGCATTTTCAGATTGTGGGGGGAAGAGAAGACCCGTCCCATCTTCCAGCTTCAATACAACAGCCTGTGGCGAAGCATATTAGGAAGATGTCTTCCCTGAGGATTGTTTATACGGATTCATAATTTCAATTTTAGGACAGAGGCGAAGGAGGAAGCACGTATCAAGGAAAGAGGCGGAGGAGGAATGAGGAAAGTGAATGTTACACCCCCACCCCCAATTATTTTGCAAATTTCATATTTTTTTTCCCCAAAAAGGTTTTTGAAAGTTACTTTTTGGTCCCTTATCCTAATCTAATCCAGACCCTTTATCTCAATTTCTCTTCTCCTCTACACTGCCACATGGCAAACACCCAACTCTCATTCTCTCTCTTTTCCCGATCTCCATGTCTCTCACTCTCGCCGTTTCTCTGTCACTCTCTGTCTCACCGTCCCTTAACTCTCTCTCCCTATTGGCTCTCTCCATCTCAGTCCCCTCAGAGGGTTTTTCTCACCAACAAACAACACCACCATCCTTGAGCTCCCTTCCTGCATCATTGAAACCCGACGAAGGCGAAAGACTTACCAAGCTCCGGTATGGAGGATGAGCTTCAAAGTCTTTTCTCGAATTCCAGTCACGATGGTAAGTTCTAAACCCTTTTGATCGTCTTTCCCTCGTCACTGGTTGAAATTTAACTCCTTTGTACTTGCTTTGGATGTCAAAACCGAGAAGAACCAGTTCGGGGATACTTTCTCAGTTTTCCGGCTAGCACCGCCCCTTTCGAGGCAATTTCCGGCCAAATCATGGTGAATTGGCCGGCGTGCAGGTATCAATCTCTTCGTGTCGTCGAGTACTACAACTTTCCTTTCTGTTTCACCCAATTTCGTTGCGTATTGAAGAAGTTATATCCATTTGAATCTTACCTCATTTCCGGCGGACACCTGTAGCTTCCAGGCTGTTTTCTGGCCAATTTCAACCACGATGACGGGAACCAAGGGTATATTTCGATTCCTTACCTTCGGGGCTTCAATTTGGTATATTTAATGACATGTTTTGGTTGAGTTTTGAGCTCCATCAGAGCTTGGGAATTCTCCGGCCGAAATCCAACCTTCACCTTCCTTGGAATCCGGTGACCCACCAAACCCAAGGCCTTTGGACCTTTCCTGCCAAGCCCAACCCAAACCCTTTTCCTTTTTATTTTAATTTTAGTTAAATTGTTTGAAACCAAATAGGGCCCTTTGGGCCATTTTCTGTTAAGGGCTTGAGCTCGATCCCCCTAAACCCTTTCAAAACAGGCTTTCAGGCCTTGGGAAAACTAGGGCCATCGGCCTGTGTAGCAAAACCCTAAACCCTTGAGCTTTAGGACCTAAGCCCTAATCCAGATCCAAACCCTAAGCCCAAGACCCTTTGACCCGGTTTGACTATTTGACCCGTTGACTCAGTCAACGGTCAGCGTTGACTTTGACTTTAACCGGTCCACGGTCAAAATTGACTTTTTCGGGTTTTCGTCTTAAACCCTCTTAGGCTTATTTCGACGTCCTGAACCCATTTTCGATGTTCGTTTTTCCAAAATAAGTCGTTTGAGTAGAGTTTGACTAAATGTACCCTTTATATGCTTAGGTGCAATTAATTGTGGCGTTTCTGTCTTCGCTAATTACATGGCTCTTTGGCAGCTGAGTACTGTGAGTGGACCCTTTCTAAAATTACATGATTTCATAGTTTAATTGCATAAATGAAAAGCATGCCTTACGAGTTTATGGATTGATTTTATGTTAAGCATGTTTATTGAAATGTTGATTATCGTCTCATTATTTTGTAAGGAATTAATTGTTGGCCTATTGGAACTATATTTTAATATATTGTATTTTCTATAAAAACCATGAACTGGTAAACTATCTAATGGATGACGATAGGATGTTAGAACATGTTTAGAAACCCCTCTTTATAGTATAGACGATGGATGACTTTACACTATGAAGTGGTTATTTATGAGAGGCGTAACTATTTGTGCGTACCTAGAGGACACTATGCTGCCTGGGGCGAGGATCTGGTGTTGGCAGTTAGGCCGAGAGAAATAATCCCTAGCTACGGGCTAAGGGACATGGAGCAGGCATTAGGCCGAGAGTCGGTAATCTCTGACTACGAGCGTAGAGACCACGGTGCTGGTATAGGGCCGGGAGTTATACTTATTCAATGATCTTACTAGCAGCATACCGCGCTTACGAGACGATCTGTGAGATGATTGATATTTTGATTTTCACGATGTTTTTTCGCGATATGTCTTTTGAGATGTTTTTGGCATGCTAGGGTTTTCAGTAAACCTATCACTTATTATGCTAGTAGTTTTCATTATTAAAACTTGGGGGTTAGTATGTTCACAACTGTTTCGCATTATGTATGTATATAAACTTGGTCCACTCACCTTTATTTTGCGCCCCCATTCAGGTCTTAGAATCGAGGCATACAATCCCAGCGTCAAGGCACTTCAACATCGGCATCTTCGAGCCGTCTCGGTGTAGGACCCACTCCTTTATTCATTCAATTTTATATTATTTCTTTTAGTGTTCTAATTAGCTGTATGCTCTGAACACGTTCCTAAATTGTTAATTCATTGTATTTCAATTCATAACCCTTATTTATTTCTCATTTTTAGCTTTTGTATCAATTAATGGCTTTCGTCACCCTCGGGTGTCAACCAGCACGTGCCTATCCAAGTATTCGGGGAATATCGGGATCGGGGCGTGTCAGTGAACCACGTATTCACTGGGCAACATGTATCAAAGATGGGCAAACTGGTCAATTCACTGTGCAAGTGAGGAAAAGAAGAAGAAAAATGCACAGTAAAAAAGGTAATTTTGCCATTTCATTGTACGTTGGAATAGTGCTTTACCATTTAGCTTTAGTATATACTAGTAATAGTGCTCACGCATTGCTGCAGGCTTAAAAAACATATAAAACATGTGCATTCAAATTAGGTGTATCATTTACAATTGTATTTATACACATAATAATTAGTACCTGAAAATTTTATTGATTGTCGCTTCACAATTTTTTTTGTTTTATTTGTGATGATGTACATGCTTCTCTGTTATGATTTGAAAAAATAGAAGTTATTAGTACAAATAAATAAGAATGTTAAAGAAGAAGAAAGATTTTTATAATTGCTAAAGAAATTCAGTAATTTTTGCAGTTTTTAAATAAATTTAATAAGATACTTCAAAGAAAACTGCAAGGTATCTATTTTGATCAGCAATCTTCTCCAATAGTAACTGTAATACCCTAAAAATTTAAAATATATGTATATGTGGAGTAATTGAGAATAAATAGATTTATGGTTATGAAATTTGAATGGGGAAAATGTGAAATTCTGCTTTAGGATTTTATTATTAATTATGTCATATAATTTTTTGTTAAGTGGAAAATGACGAAATTGCCCTATTGTATTAAACGGATTTCCTCGCAGATGTATTCGATCCTTTCATGACTTTCCAGATTTCTTTATATATTCGAATAGTACGTTTTGATACGGACGCGTGAGCGCAGATGAAATGTGATTTGGAGTTAGGACGAATAAGTTACGAATTTTCTAAATAAAAGAACATTTTAGTAAATTCAAGTGGAACTTTCTGGAAGCCAATGACTTCCTTTTACTCCCTCCCTACTTGAAAAACCAGCAGGTAGGAGGGGGGCTGCTGTGTTCTTCTTCCCTTTAATTATCCTTCACTCCAAAAATTTCATGGAATCATAACTTTCTCGTGCGGTAACGAAATCACGCACGGTCGAAGCCTATGTATTCGTAGCAAAGCCCTCTTCAATTTGATACCAAACCCATATGTTGGAACCAAGCATGCCCATATGTTGAAGCCTAGAAGCTTTGACACCGATTCCAGCTAACCTCGCTGGAGATAGGTCTCAACCCAAGAGAGAAAAATACTCCTTTCTTCATGCACTTTTAGGATATGTAAGTGAATCTTCCGAAATTCAAGTTTCTTTTTCCAATAAGTTTGAGATTTATGTGTTTGACTTGAATTTCTGGTGTTCTTGTTGAGGAGTTGTGGTGGTAACATTGATTTAGGAGCTTAGTAACTATGTGGTAGATTGATGAACGACTTTGGAGGGCAGGACAAGAACAAGAAATGGTACATACTTTAATTTTATTGAATTGTTTGTAGTCTTTGGCTACAAGTGGAAGAATTAAGCATGGTATGGGTAAGCTAACACATAGAAATAGAAGTTAAATATGATTCCTAGATAGTACAGAACACAAGCTTTAAAACCCATATAATAGAAATAGAACTTTATATGCCTTTAAAGTGCAAAACACAAGCTTTAAAACCCATATAATATTATATGATTTGGTTTAGTTTTGAATGCTCCAAGGGGAGCCTAAATTTGGTCCAATAGTGCTGTTTTTCTGCAGATTTTGTGGAGAGATGTTTTTCTAGAATGCATAATGACGAACTACGAATGGCTTGATCCCTTCGCAGGGTACGTAGGTAGTCTAAC